GCTAACTTCCTAGTTTTGCAGTTTCAAATTCATATTTAAAAATTACACACACACACACACACACACACACACACACACACACACACACACACACATATATATATATATATATATATATATATATATATATATATATATATATATATATATATATATATATATATATATATATATATATATATATATATATATATATATATATATATATATTGCCTCAGGATCAGGACAATTAAGACTGGAATTCATTCGGAACATTCTATATTTCTGAACATGTGATTGGACAGACAAGATAAACAATGTGCTGATTATACTTCCTTCTGTTACTTAATTTACGACCTAGAATCGTAAGATGCCTTAACTTTATATACATGAATGGCGGAAAGATGTACAGTAAACATAGGGAATTTCGCGGTAAACTCAATTTTGGTATCTTTAAAACTGATATGTGTGACCCCTTCTTACAATAAAAGTCTGCCTTTTCTTTTGCTGGTTGCTTAATCCAGTATATTAACAATATTACATACTTTGTACAAAATATTCATGAAGAAAACTGCAATTTGAACGGGAGTAACATGTCTTGGAAATGTTCAAGGCTAATGGCATATAATCCAATATCAACTTACAATCATTGTCATTAAAAGTGACTCCATCTATAATAAAATGTTGTTAATAATAATAATAATAATAATAATAATAATAATAATAATAATAATAATAATAATAATAATAATAATAATAATAATAATAATAAAAATAATAATAGCAAGAGCAAGCATTACCATCACGACTTTATTTTTAATCAAAATATGCTCGTTTAGTCAACAGACCGTTTTTACAAATTATGGTGTCCATTCAAACAACAAACCTATTACAAATTTCATTGTTGATCTACTGATACTATAAAATACTAACCAGGCATTACAGATGAGTACATATTGAATGCATACCAGTGCCAACTTGTATTATAAGACGTTACGGGTGAGTACACAAATAAACATTTAAAGAAGAGTGAACTTAAAATCATGCAAGTGATTGTTTATGTAGATTTTGATAAGATGCATTTTCAAACGTTGGATAAATAGGCTCAGATAATATAGGATGGAATGGAATTCCATAGTTTGACTCCAGAAAAGCAAATCTCTTCTTATAGAACTCATCATTTTTTTTAGTTAAATATGAATTTCTTTTTGATATAATGGACCTTAATTCAAACGAATGTACATTTTCCACACATTTAAATTATTTTTTTGAATATAATCAAGAGCCCATTTTGGCATTTGTAAGCCACTTTATGATTTGAAAAAGATTCGCTGATGGTGTAACCCTAGCTGTTTTTTTTTTTTTTTTTTGAAATTTTAATAGTCTCGTTTTATCTTCTTGATGGCTATTAACGCAGACAATAACAACGATCTCAATGTAGCATGATATACGCACGTAGAATACACTTGTTCTTGAGGGAGATAAGATTACATCTAAGATATAAGTATTGTGTTTACTGGTTTTTTTTTTTACCTTATCAGTTTGCATTTTCCAACTCAAATATTTGCTATAAAGATTCGATGTAGATGTTTCTTGTAGGCTGTTCTCCCAGATTTTACTCTTATTTGACCACCTATAATCATGGCTTTTACTTTGTCGTGACTACCCACGTTTATGACTTTTATTTTGGATTGAGTACCTATGTTCCTAACTTTTGAATTGGCTCGACTACCTATAACCATGGCTTTTGAATTGGCTTGACCACCTGTGACCATAGCTTTTGATGTGGCGTGGCAACATATACTCAGGGATTTTTATTTGGCTGTATTTACTGTCGTACCAATAAACTCACCAGTTAGATTAACCAAATATCAATTTAGTGATAAGCTTATGAAGATAATTACAGGCAATATCAATTTAGAGATAAGCTCATGAAGATAATTACAGGCAATATCAATTTAATGATAAGCTCATTGAGATAATTACATAAGATAATTTTAAAATGATCAAATTCAAACACGACAAGTAATAAATAAAAATTATCGGACAGATTACATGTGTGCTGCTACCTATGGCTTCATAAGCTTCATAAATCGGTTGAATTTTACGTTCAAAATTCGTATTTGTTTGAAACCAGATGAAAACTGTTCGTTCTGTACCGTCATCTTAAAACGCCCTTTACGAACGGACAAAAGGTTAGAGCAAACACAGAAATTGTACAGTTCAACATCGTTCCCGCTAAACCAGCCTACTTCCTCACACATAATGTAGACGTTATCAGATCAAATCCGGGAAGGAAAGACTTTCGTTCTAATCAAAGTTGTTTCCTTTCTTTCTGAACAATGAAGTATGTAAGAAATGCAATTCATACTACAGCCAAGAATACCCCCCCCTTCCCAACTCCAAAGTAAAGAACAGCAATACATAAATTAGTTGATTGCATATTGGGATAATATATTTATGACACGTGAACATTGTGTACTCACTTATTTTCGACTATTTTCTTGTTACCTGTTATTGTATGTGGAATGCGTAGACATGTAGTTCTTCTTTGCAGAAGGTATAAACTTACATATACTTCCGTAATTTTTGCTTGCATATTAGTCAGTCTGTCTGTCTGACTGGCTATATGCATGCATATCTTTGTCAGTCTGCCTATTTGTATCTATGAATTTGTGGGTAAGATTATTAATTAGCATTTATAATAAGATATGATATTAAAAGAAAACAAAGCTAACGTTCGACATTGTCATTTTTAATCAGTCACATTCTGAAAGCCGCCACGAGCATTTCCTATATATAACATCTTATTGGCTTCGAATTAACGAAAAGGAAGTAAAAAGAATGGGTATGCAAAGCGTGTGAATACAGCAATCAGTATACTACTTAAAAAAATAGTGATTCATTATAAGAATGAAGAATTTATTAATTTGACTATAAGCTATTGTGTAACAGACAAAATAATCAAATAATTTACTATAATACCAAAATTATGTTCAGGTAATAGTATGGTTGGATATTATTTGTATGTAGAGTATATGTAAATGAGTATAAAATGAGTTATAAAGCTTGATTCCGTGTGTGTGTGTGTGTGTGTGTGTGTGTGTGTGTGTGTGTGAGAGAGAGAGAGAGAGAGAGAGAGAGAGAGAGAGAGAGAGAGAGAGAGAGAGGGAGATGAATACAAAACAATCTCTAAATATAACAACCACCTGTTAAACTATAATCACATTCACACACAAATGCTTCCGCCTATCTTTTGTTGATTATAAACTTCCCTTATCTCGGGTTTGTATAGCGTTTGTTAGGAGCAGAATACAGATTTAAAAGTATAAACGTTAATTTCTAGTCTTGCAATATTCCATGAAAAAAAAAATATTTTCGCTGACAGATTTACTTTCTTGTCGACATCAAACTGCCCTTAACTGAAAAGCAGATTTTACAAGAAAGGCAGATAGGAATAAAGAACATGGAAAATTTAATATCGTACATTTTCTAAAGGAACTTATTTTCATTCGTTCACGGGTTGCGTATTGGATTAATATCATGCGCGATGTCACTAACATAGTCTTTCAAACAAGATAAACTTGTGGATTTTATCTTGGTTTCTTATCGTACAGAGCACTCGGTGAGATGCACGTGTTCTTGGGCTTTCTCTAGTTACAGAGTGTAGCACAAGAATACGCTCGTATTAAACAAATACCTATTTATAAGGAATATACTTTGAATGTATCACATATGAGTAGCTATGTTTTCTTTGCATGTATGTAGAACATTATTTGACATTGGTTTATTTCTTTGGTTTCCCTTTTTGCGAATGAAGTCAAAGTTGTTCACAAATATGAAAGAAAAAAAAATAAAAGAAAATGATAAATAGTTTGTCATACATAATATATTTAAGAAGGTAAAAAATATCAAATACTTAAAGCATTTCTAAAACTAATGCCCACAAGCACATACAGATATAGATATCCAATTTGTAATGAACGTCTTTCTTTTCCTTGATGAATAGATTACGTTTACAACACTTATAAAGAAACGATCTTAAAACGCACTAAAACATGTCACTCTGATATATTGTACCATTAACATTGAGGTCCCACTGAATTGCCCGAGGTTCATATGCAACGATAACGAACTGGTGAACTTTTAATCTCAGTTAACAGGATCTTCATGTTTTCATGTGTGTGTGTGTGTGTGTGTGTGTGTGTGTGTGTGTGGAGAGAGAGAGAGAGAGAGAGAGAGAGAGAGAGAGAGAGAGAGAGAGAGAGAGAGAGAGAGAGAGAGAGAGAGAGAGAGAGAGAGAGAGAGAGAGAGAGAGAGAGAGAGAGAGTACTGATCCTGGCGGAAGGCAGACAATATATTTTTACACTGAGCATTTTGTAGCATATATGTTTTAAATGACGCATCAATTCTTCCTTTTTTTTACAAACAGTATACTTACCTTATTAAAATTCTTATACATTGTATTCTATACAATTAAAAAACTGGAACAATTTTTTTGCAGTTTTAATGAACATGTTAGGTCTTTTCTTCTGTGCACAGATTATTAACAGCAGAAGATAATTTAGCCAGTTTTATGAAAAAGTACCCCAAATGCATAAGAAGTGCGAGTTGCAATATAAAATTATTATATCGTGTCAGTGTAGGATGGATATGCATGTTCTATGTTACAGCAGTTTCAGTCGTCTAAGTTGATGTCAATCGTAAACCTATGAAGAATTAAATTGTGTGTTTTTGTGTGAGTGTGTGTGTGTGTGTGTGTGTGTGTGTGTGTGTGCGTGTGTGTGCGCGTGCGCGATTTGGATTTTTATCGTAGCTTTTAAAAAAAAATTCAGTCATATCGTTACGATGTGTGCAGTGTAACAGCTTATAGTGATGTCTAGGACTGGGACATCATGCCCCAGACAGGTAGCATGATGTCCCACTCAGTTACATTATCATGACACCAGGCCGACCAGCTCTAACACTAACCTCTTAATACTGAGTGCCAAGCGAGATAGCTGTTTTATAAGTCTTTGGTATGAATCAGCCGGGATCTAACCAACGACCTTCCCCATACGAGGCAGACGCTCTAACCACTGGGCCACCGGAATGGTGAATGAAATTGTAATACGTGGATTTCTTTGCACACGCCAAGAGATTTTTTTGTTGCTGTTGCTGGCATTCATGTTTGCGAGTTGATCTGATGTGAATCTACGTTGAACGAAGGAAGAGAAAAAACAGTATGAAAATAAAAAGTAAGTACACGTATTTATTGACAAGGAAATGACTTACATTTTACAATCTCAAATATTTTTTTTTTATAAACTCTGTATTGTTGTACATGAAGGTACTGTATTAATTTTAAAAGTGTCGTAATGTAAATTTCTTACTATACGTTGATTGCTATGCATGCTTTTGGCAGGAAGTTGTATTTAAAGCATATACATATTCAGTGTCAAGTCAGGTAAATGAAATTGAGAGAGAGAGAGAGAGAGAGAGAGAGAGAGAGAGAGAGAGAGAGAGAGAGAGAGAGAGAGAGAGAGAGAGAGAGAGAGAGAGAGAGAGAGAGAGAGAGAGAGAGAGAGAGAGAGAGAGAGAGAGAGAGAGAGAGAGAGAGAGAGAGAGTCTACCACCCTAATAATTTTATTTTACAATCCTGTGTGTGATAAAGTATACCAAACTTTGGAGAAAAAAATCCCACTCCCCAACAAAAAGAAAACACCCTAAACACCGAAGCAAATCACGAAATCAAGACAGAGACACTGTGTGTGTGTGTGTGTGTGTGTGTGTGTGTGTGTGTGTGTGTGTGTGTGTTAAAATATATTATCCAAGATTTTGAGAAAATATCCCCTCTCAAGCCAAAACAAAACCTCTAAAAACCTAAACAAATCAAGACATACAGACACTGTGTGTGTGTGTGTTAAAATATATTATCCAAGATTTTGAGAAAAGATCCCCTCTCAAGCCAAAACAAAACCTCTAAAAACCTAAACAAATCAAGACATACAGACACTTTTTTCTTTTAGGCAAATACAATTCGTGACAAAAGTTCAAAAACACCGAATATGTGTTTCTGCTGATTCTTTTGCTTAAGATAGTCTGAATTTATTTGCTTTAATGGGCTTTTCTTTTCATTATCTTCTTATGAAATAATTTCCTTTTCTCATTGTTCTCACATACTTGGAACACTGTAGACCAATTCATTTTTTTTTCTTTACAATAATAACATTTATCTTTATGTTTGTATTTGCTTTCTCATGTCTTAAATGCTCCTTTCCTTTGTGGCACAGTGTCATCTCTTTTAATAAACCTGACCCATATCTTGACTTTTATCTTGAGAGGATATGTCTGGACTTTCTCTAGAAGTCTTGTTGGAAGTGTATATTCTAGTGGATGCCCTTTAATGAACAATACAGACATTAAAAAATTGTACTAATTTTTTCCCCTGGATTTAGACTATGCGTAATTATATGCATGAATATTGAAATCGATCGTTATATTAAGTAATAAAAAGCTCTTGCTATTTTATATTCAAAATATTGAAGCACAAATTTAAATTTAGTGATCTGCTATCCATTAGTCTATTTAGAGTGACCATCACCAAATGTTTACTATCCAGTACCCAGTTATCTACGACCCCAGTGATCTTTCATCCAAATGCCAACGCTATAATATCAACATATCCTTGGGGAAACCAATACCCATCGATTCACCACCCAACACCCTCCAAATCCCGACAACATGTCCTTGGAGTGACCAACATTCAGACATCTTTTATTCAATAACCCACACTCATTTTTAAAAACGACATTGCGGTTAAAAACATTACACCAATTAAACAAGGATGGGGTGTAAAATAAAAATAAAACTATACCTTTCATTCTGAATATTTTGATTTTCGTATCTTGAAGTTTTAGTCTCCATTTTTCATTCTTCATTAAATTCTTAAATTCTTCATTAATTCTTAAATTCTTTTTTTAAATTTTAATTTTAAAATTTTCTTGTCAAAATTGTATTTGTTAGGTTTTCTCTTTTCAATTTTAACATTTATTTTATTGTTAATTTTGTTTCTTTAATTTTCAATTTTCTTTCTTTTAATTTTAATTCTTCGATTTTTAATTTCAAATTTGGTGTTTAGATTATCACTTTTTCTCCTTAGATTTTAACTTTTAAATTATTTTGTTAAATTATATTTCTCGATTTTCATTTTCAAGTTTAGTTTTTAATTTTAATTTTGATTTAAACTTTACTTATTTCAAATGCACATTTTTATTTATTTCATCAATTTTCATTTTCGAGTTTGCCATTAAATTTCTTTTTCAATTTTGACTTACGTCTTGAATTTACATCTTAAATTTAGCTTTTTAAATTTCCTGTCATTTTTCTTTTTAATTTTCATTTTAAAACTTGATTATTTAAAATTCACTTAATTGCTTTTCATTTTCATATTTTATTTCAAAATTTATTTCTTAAATTTAATTTTTTAGATTTTAATTTTAAAATTTGGATTATCAATTGTTACAACTATACGGTCATAAACTAAGTAACAGAAAGAAGCAAAACCAGCAAGTTTTGTAAAACTTAATTTTGTTATCAATGTTATAAATGAAAATGCGAGAGGGGCTTACAGATTATGAAGTTAATCCACAATAATCCAGAAAAGATTTTATTAAATGTCCAAAAGAATGAGAAGTCCCGTATAAATGTCAGGACCATAAATATACTGTCCGCGAAGAATTGTTGTCAAAATTGCATTCTCCATAATTCATTTGAACAATTTTCAGTAGTTTCAGAATAATTATAGTCCAATAAGCACTTTCTATTTGCACTGAATAATCCTAACAAACGTTTTTATTCTCAGATATTATCAAAGTACAACGTAAACAATGCTTGCAGGCTTGAAGTTACGACAGGAATAAAAGAAATAAGAACAAATCGAGAAGAGGAATAAATCTTATTGCTCAGTTCTCTCCTTATAGACATATTCAAGAGCCGATTAAGATTATATGACGCAATATACCCCACGTGGCATATCTTACTGCTCAATCTAATATTTCAAAATGTGTATTCTTGTGACCTAACGCATTCAATAGGAATTAACTTAATTGTTTTACATACTATCAGACCGACCTGTCCAAATTTGGGGGGAGGGGGCATATTTAATTATAATTCCATTATCCGTAACTGTCAAGACGTAGGTAAACATTAATGTATAGATCTTATGCAAATTACGTTCTTTAATATCTTAAAATATACCCTCGTCACGTACTCCAAATCTAGCTATAGATACTCACTATAATTTACAGTGATTAACAAACAAAAATCACAAAAATTAGACAATCACATGTACCAGGAGATTAAAATAATACAGATATACATAACACAATAGTCATTTCTTAATTTTTATTGTCAAGTATATGTTGCTGGGTGGTGATATTGCTTTGCAGAGAATTATTTCGTTCCAAACCATAGACGGACAGAATATGTTAACTGAAAACGGTTAAACATATCTAATGTTGAAGAAGCGGAGTGTTTTGGTGTAGGTCTTATTCACTCACGTTTCTCCAAAGAAGTTTGATACAATTACTCGAAGTGTTTTAACTCGACTAAGATGTCTTGCAACACAAACAATTTTCGTATACATCCTTTCCTTAGTTCATTGTTCAATTTTTCCCTTCTCTTCTTGTTGCGATCTCTTTTCGTCTTCTTGTTGAGCAAATGTCTGTTTTTTCTTCTTTTTGACGTTTATAAAAGTTTAAAAACATTTAACAGACATAAAACATGAACTTTGTTGTTTTTGTTTTTAAATAAAAATTTGTTGTATAATAAAAGAAAACGACATAGTCCATTTTAAGACGCAAATATGTTGCACCAAGAAAAGCAACAACCTTCCCCAACGTTGAATTTGTTGTTCATTAAAAGCGAATTTGTTCTGCCTCGAAAGAAAGAAAACATTAACTTCTTGTGTGTTTTTGCTGTACCATGAAAGAAATAAACTTTGCTTTTTATTAATATAAAACTTTTGTAACAAGTTTTTTTCCCACGGTACAATTTTTAATATTGGAATGGACTTTGTTAAATAATAATAATAATAATAATAATAATAATAATAATAATAATAATAATAATAATAATAATAATAATAATAATAATAATAATAATAATAATGATAATAATAATAATAGCAATAATGATGATGATGATGATGATGATGACGACGACGATGATGATGATAAGCATTCTGTAAGACTTACTTTGGCTTGTACAAGCAAAACTCTAATAAGGTTCGCTTAATGCATTAAAATACATATTATATTAAAGGAATTCAATTTGTCTTTGTTTGCCTGGATAAAACCCCTGTATAGTTATGTGTTCCGTAATAATAATAATAATAATAATATATATATATATATATATATATATATATATATATATATATATATATATATATATATATATATATATATATATATATATATATTGTAATATGTATATATATATATACATATATATATACATACATATTACAATATATATATATATATATATACATATATATATATACATACATATATATATATATATATATATATATATATATATATATTCCCAAAACGTGTGTAACGATTCTAGAATCTATTACTTTGCAGGCACAGCATATATATTGTTTTTTTAAAAGAAAGCGCATATGCAGACATAACAACCTAAATAATATTTTTAAAATCAAGAGCGCATGATATTTTCGGCTTCACCACATATTTTGGTCCTATACTGCAAATCTAATAATGATCAAATCTTTGTACACTGGACACCTCAACAAAACAACCATAAATAATAATCATAATATTATTTTTACAATCCAGGGGTCTTTGCTTGTCAAAACCCTGGCGCGAATCCCGCTAGAAGTCATAAGTATACCCCAAATTTTCAAAGACTTCTATACAATTTCAGTTTTAAGCTGGAAAGCCCGACGTGTTCATTCTATGCACAAATTTTACTCGAATCAATGCAAGACCACATTATTCACAACTTGCCAATTATCCATCAACCGCACATCCGCATAGTCTCACTACATCAACTTTCCGTATCGTCAATAGTTCACACC